ATTACTATTATTATTATTATTATTGTTATTACTATTAATTGGATTAAATGAGTTAAAAATCTGATTAAGAGGGTTTAAGGAGAGTTAATGGAGTAGGCAGTTAGTGTACGTGAAAAAGGAAAAGGCAGAGAAAGGAGAGCTAGGGCAAAAAGAACCAATTTTCTCCATTGTTGTCAAGAAAGAGATTAAATTCAAGGTAAGGGGGAGAATGGATTTCAATATGGGTGAATTAACATGAGAGGATAGTGAGAGGTCCTTTCTCTCATAGGATTCATGTATTTCTTCTTCTTTTATCTAATTTTCGTAATATAATGCTTTTCTCTGTAATTGGTTGTGTTGCTGAATAATTATTGTGTGATATATGTGTAAATGAATCTGAGATCAGTATGAAATTCGTGTGGAATCGATTGATGTTGTGGTATGATTATGATAGGTAACAGATCTAGGAAATAAGGGTTTGAGGGTTAACGAAATTGAACCTTACATGATAGGTATCTTAGGAGAATAATGGATAAATGAAGTATAGTGGAGGTAGAGCAAAACGATTAACAAAAAACTGAATTTTGGGTTGAGTTGAGTGGTAAAATGAAGAGTATTAAGTGAGAATTCATGAAAGGGATGAAATTTGAGTTTTTGGCAACAGTTCTGGTGATACGCGTATGAGACAGGGCAATACGCGTAACAGGTAGGGCAATACGCGTATTGTGGGTCTGACAGCAGGGCAATACGCGTAACAGATAGGGAAATACGTGTATGGTGGGCCTGACAGCAGGGCAATACACGTAACAGGCAGGGCAATACGCGTATGGGCAGGCCTGGGATGACTTTTTTCCCATTTTTGCGATTTCGGCCCAGATTTCGCTTGGAACGCAATTTTGTTTAATCGATAGGATTAATATGACTAAAATGAACCTAAGGAAGATTAGTAATGAATTTAATTAGAGAGAATATGGAAAATTACGTTTTACCCTTAGGGGTGTGATTGATATGTGTGGGCCAGGATCGTCCAGTGTGGACGATCTGGTGCGATGATGGCAATTCTCGAGAGGATTACGGTGAGCGGATGGCTCGTGTGGATCATTGATGATCGTGAATTATGCTTGAAATTATTATTATATTTGCATAATGGTGTTGTCATGCATTTCATGTCATGTGTCTTGTGGAGATGACTAGGTGGGAATCCATGATGGGTGTCTAGTTCATCCGGACTTCATGTGGAAGTCGTTGTGGAGATAAGTTGTAGTTCAGAGGAACGTATACGACTTATCCGGATTCCGATGGGAATCAGGTTCTAGGATGAACAGTATGTATTTGTGTTGGTACCACATGTATTGTGTCGAGTCAGTGAGTCACATTACATATTTGTATTTGATTATGGGCTATTAATGTTGAGTGATTGAGATGGCACGTGTATGTGCGTTGCATGTGTATGATTGTATGTGTGGTGTGTAACTACTCTTTAGCATGTGTATTTCACCGCTTATTTATTGAATGTAGTTCTCACCCCTTTTCTGTTTGTTGCGTCTGTGCTCCTTGGGGAGTGCAGATGACCAGGTACCAGAGTAGTGTTTGGAGTGTGTTGCTATTTGATCGAGTTCTAGGAGTCGCTCTGATACGTAACATGGGATGACGAGATTACGTTATATTTTGCTTATTTCCTTTTGATCTGACCTGATCATGATGGGATCACGGACTGGTCACACTCTGTTGGGCTGCTACTTGTTCACCGGTGATAAAGAGAAGAAGGGGGGTGTACTTGCGAGACACTCTGATGTCAAAGTAAGGAATTGGGCAGAGTGAGAGCAAAATACAGAAAAAGGGTAAGAAGTGAATTACCTGACCCTCTTGTGGAAGAGGGTATTTATAGAGAGACCCCAGCGTTGGGCCAACGGTCACTTGTGTTGGGCCGGATTGTCAGGCCCAACCCAGGTGACTGCTAGGGCTTACGTGGCGTAGTGAAGGCCATAACGTGGTTTTCGCCCTAGTTCAACTGTCCCGTGATCTCCGGAAAGTGGGTTTGACCTGCTCTTTCGGAGGTGGGCAGTTGGTTAGTGATGTGTCCCCGCGGAGGGGAGCACGTGGAGAACGTGGGCAGGACACGTTGTCCTGCCCGACAGGAGAGCGGGTGGCGCCCGCGGGGGGCAAGTCGTGCCCGCGGAGGGCGGTGTTTGGTCGAGCGAGTGAGTCTCCTGCCCGACGTAGTTGGGACATGCCTTCCTCGCAGAGAGGCCTTTCTGACCTCGTGCCCGACGCGGTGCCCGGACCGGACTGGACATGGTGGAACATTATTGGGTTGGGCCCGCGTGGTCAGATCGGGGCCCAGAACACCTTTATTAATTGTTACGTATCTTTTATCTGTTGGATTAATGATGTATAATCACCGGTTGTGGGGATTATGTTTAAACATTGATTTTATTTTGTTGTTTTATTAAATGGCCTTGTTGAAATATTGTGGAAAGCATGAAGTGACTTGATACTTCATTGAATGAGAAAAATGTCGATGTGACATCTTACGTGTTTTGAAAACTCTGATGTATTTTCTTTAATATTCCTATAATACGCGTACGAGGTAGAGTGGGGTGTTATAGGTATTGCTTTCCCCGCTCTTCTCAAATTCAAGGTCGATGCATATTGTGTTGTTGATGCAGTTTTCTCACTGCTACGCGACAATTTTATTGTGATATGTGTTCCTCTCTATTGTGCCTTTGTGGTGAATTTGTGAATACTTGGTAATACTGTGGAATGTATTTATGCTCGTGTATGATATGTACTTTGGTGGCTTGCGTACGTCCCTCTTTCTATGATGTGTATGCTGCACTATAAGAGAATTAACTGTTTTTTATTTTTGTAAAATTTTCTATCTGTAAATGTGTTTGAACTGTGTGGATTTCCTTTTTTTCTCAACCATGTGTGTGTTACTGCTATCCTGTGTTGTTGCCCCCTCAAAGTTGTGACCTCTTTTTATAAGCTCCAATTCTTGATTTCGAAATCAAAGAGAGATATTGTTGTTGATTCTTTGTTGCCTACATGATTAAAACTTTCCATTTCGATGTCGACATGTTTAGATGCTATTTTGTAAACCATTTGAATCTTGGTTGGGGCCTTTCCATTTTTGTTTCAACATGTTTGTTTACTAGTTTTAGAAAGAAATCCAATTTGTCTACTTATTTTACAATACATGATTAAAGGATGAAAATTAATGTGAGAACAAAAACAATCATAAACCGTGTTTTTGACAGTTGAAAATTTTTTCATGAGTCTTCTTTGAATTTTCTCTATTGTCGCTTTTCGTGAAACTAGTTTTGCATCAATATGTCTCATGGTTTTGATTTCTAATAATTTTTCCTTACAGATAAACTGTTGGAAGGCAAATGTCTAGGAATTCGTGACGGCCCGGTGCTAGAGATTGCTTGACCGTGGATCAAGATTTCCATGAACCCCTTCTTGTTCTTTCACTATATGTTATTGTTCATGATTAGCTTTATTGCAGGAATTATATAAAGAACAATCTGATTCAGTTCATGCTTTACGGTCGACGCGGTTTTGCCGGCTGTGGTGGAACCTAACTTGTGAAGCACTGACTTGCAGGCATGCAAAGGTTGGAATCTGATGGTGACATTAGGCAATTGAAGACATATATGGCTTGTGCAGACTTAACATTAGTAGTTTTGAAACTAGTACATTGGACATCATCATCATCATCATCATCAATAATGTAATTATAATTCACTTGGAACAACAAATGCTCACTTGGAACAACAAATGCAGGGGTCAGATACTTTGTGCTCCGCATATACATCTATCACCTTACGCGGTACAACATCTTTGGTAAACTGTAGCACATCCTTATCAGTATTCAATGGTCTAAGACCACAAAAATACCTTAATATAGAGATGTTTTAAGCGTTTATGGTTTCATGTTTTAAGCGCTCTTTGTTTTCGGAATGGAGCTTTTTGTGTTTGGTTTCATGGAGAGAAATACACAGGAATTAGCTTTAGAGGAATTTGGTTTATGGATTTATATTTTAAGTATATTTTAAATTTTTTATTAAAATGATTATATCAATTACAAATGTTATGTAAAATAAAATATAAATATTTTTAATTAAAAAATTAAATAATATGACCTAGCTCCACAATAACGATGTCATGTCATTAAGCATGTTAAATGTGTCAAATTGAGGGGGGCGGTAAGATATGGATTTGGAGAGATTGATTGTAAGGGAAAGTTATGTAGACATATACTGTATGTAGTATTGAAACCCTATATTTTTTATTAAAAAATTTAAAACTATTTTAAATAATTTTTAAAAATATAAAAATTATGTAATTTTAAAAATATTTTTTACTTCAACGAATATTTATGTTATTGAATATTTTACACTATTTGTAGATATTCTTTTTTCTTAAATAATTTTAAGAGAAAGTTTGCACCTTACAAGTACATTAAGTCCTAAAATACTATATCATACAAGTATTTTAAAATTAATCGTATGACATAATGGGATACACGTCCGTAATTGGTTGACAGTGTAAAAGCATTTCCCCACTATCCGTGTATATTTTTTTTCTTATTAGGAGAACGAGATCAAAAGATATTAAAATTTTCTAAATAAAACAGCACATTTGCTTTCACAGCAGAGTTTACACCTTACAAGTACGCTAAGTCCTAAAGTCCCAGCAAATAAGGACACAAACTACTTGAGAAAGAGTATGCTAGATTCTAGTTTGAACACACATTTAGTATATTGGAACTATATTATTCACCTAGTTAATTGGTCTTTTAAGTTCCACATGAATGAGGTATCAAAATTGTTGTCAACAACTACATAAGGGATTGTTACTAATAGTGTGAACTCAACTCTAAGTTCCATAATTTGACAATGATTACTTACATTCTATCCTTTTCCCCGCCCCATCTAGTGTCTGCAACGGAACGTGCATGTCTAATGCTGTCGTATCACGCTTTTCTTCGAACATGCGCTTCACATGGAGGTGTGTCATTCTTCATCAAAATCCAAGAGGAAATCAGTCAAGTTCTCAGAATCACCTAGAGCCTCATCCAGTGTCATGGGACCTTCTTTCTTTGGTTTTGGCTGCAAGTTTAAGAAAAGGTACACATTGTTAAGAATAGAGTAAGAAACATGTGAAATAGTTTTAGTTTTAGTAAAATACCTTTGATTTGCGAAGCTCGGGAGTAGCTTTCAAAACACTCCAATTACGACTAATCTTCGATTCGTCGTCTTCTTCTTCATCTCCCTCTTCTTCTTCATCTCCCTTTTCCACTCCTACTACCTCTTCAACATCAATATCACTATCCTCTTCATCCTGGTCAATAGGTGAGAAATGAAAGGGAAAATGTTACTCACAATCAATCATTTAGGAATGGAACTCACTGAACAACGGCATGCCGAGTCTGGTATTGAAGTTACAAGAGTAAAAGATGGTGAATCGATGCTCACATCATTTTCGCCAATATCTACTGCTTTAGCCATAGCTTCATCTATTTTAGACACCTGCCATATTGTAAATAATGAAAGATATAAATCTATACCATATTATGAAGCTCAGGTGCAAAAAATCAACGATCATGCGATCATTCTAAGTAAAAAGTTGTGGTCAACGACTTGTAAAAACATGTTATGAATTTTTATGAGGTCATAAATTGTCACATCTATCTTTCGGTGAAAAAATATTAAGGATCGGATAATAGGCTGGATGGTAAAAAGAAAACTTAATCTTATCATATCTTAAACATTCCTCCCTTTGGGTCCTATTTATAAGAGAAAGTTGACTTTTTATATTCATTGAATAATCAATGTATCTGAACTAGATACATTTGATTATTCAATGAATATAAAAAGTAAATTTTTTTCTTATAAATAGAACCGGATGTAGTATAAGGGTATAGCTAGGCTAAATTATTATAGAATGTTGGAATACTTCTGTGCACAACAAAATGTGCTGAGTCAGTACAATCTGTGATTCCTTTAGGTATTTCAGTCATTCAATCTGTTAGAGCTTAGAAGTTGGTTTAGAGTGGCTAAGGGTTAAGGTTGTATTCATCCCTTAACAGAATCAATGAAATCATCTGCACATTTTCGGCGTGTGAAATTATATCAACCTTAAACTGCACCTTACAAGCTTAGCACTACATTATGTCTTGACGCAATTGTTTTTCATTAGATTAAAATGAAGCATGAGGACAAACTAACAATGTAAAAGTAGAAAAAGGAAACGAAACCAAAAGTTTCCGCCATAGCAATGGATGATTGAGATAATGTTAGTCTGTATTATTGTTCATTAAATGCCCTATCCCTTCGCATCATCATTAAGCCTATCAGGATATAAGGACTTAGAAAATTGTCAAATTACTAGAAGAAACACTTCCCTGTAAAACCATAATGCCGTCTGTTTGCAAAATAAGCCGTTCATTTCATACCTTTATTTTCAGTGTTATGAAATTCATAATTACTAATCCCTCCATTCTTATTTATAAGCAAATTTTAACATTTTAGATTCATTAAGTTATTAATGCGTCTAACCTATATATAGTCCAAATACATCATTTTATTGAATGAATCTAAAAAGTCAAAATTTGCTTATAAAAGAGAATGGAGGGAGTACTTCCTTACCTGAACTTGTTGAGTCTTTTGCGTTTTCAGAAACTTTTCTAGCTCCTCCATTGAAATCATCTTTCCTTGCTGATCACATAATAGAAAAGTTCAATACTAGTCACATGAATAAATAACCACATATTTCATAAATAAATAAAAATAAAAAATTAAAAAAAAAAATTTAAAAATTTTAAAAATTAAAAATAAAATAAAATAAAATAAAAAAAGGTGAACTATGCATCATGTCTGAAAATTGAAATTTCAACAAACATAAAAGAAAAAAGAAAAATCAAATATTTGAAGAAAATAACTGTAACTACAGTCTACAACACTACACTAAAGATAAATGTAAAAGAGCAAAATTATAAAAGCATGTCCTGTGCTCTTGGGATTATTCTTATCGGTGCAACAATCAGAAGAGAACTTGAAAAGATTCAAATGCAAATAAACTTAACAGCTAATATTGCATCTCTAATTATAAAGCATAAACGAGAATTGTGTTTCACTTTTTAATTATTTTAGAGTTATTGAGAAAAAACCAGAGAAGATACACTAGAAGTAAGATCTTGGAACTATTGATAATAAGATAATTAAATGTCAAGGTGGTAAAAGTAACTCTCAATGACCATGCCAAGCTTATATCTAGCACATTGATATACCTAACTATTCAAGCACATCATTCATAAAGTGACATATTTATCTCAAAAATATTTTGAGAAGATATGCTCCATATTATCTAAAGATCTTAAATATAACAATTTACACCCTTATCAAAGTTTTAAGAAAAGCAACAATAATAGGAAACAAATAAGCTGACTCAGAAAATAACCTCTTTCAGATAAGAAGCCATATCTGGTGTTGGTTCCTTAAAATTTGGTCCCCTGTAGTCAGTTACTTCGTCTGGATCTTGAATATAGTTCACAGTTGGGTAAACTGGATCTCCACCCCATACTGCAGAAAGAAAGGAAATTTTCTCAATTACTATTTAGGGATAAGAGTGTCTTGAATCTAGAGTGAGCAAGTATTGAACAGTAGATGTCAACGAATAAAGTATAAAGTCATATCAGCGCAAATAGTGAGTGGGTTAACAATGATACTTAGAGGTAAAATTTAATTGCTTAAATTTTTAGGTGCAGGGTCTAGTGGTTCTTTGACAAACAATGCTAATTAGAGTTTAATAATCATCAAATCGTAAAAAGTAAGATGTGAATGGCTTAATAACAAGATGACTTAAAGAGGGGGAAAATATATATACAGACATGACACACAAATAGTAATTTTTAAAGTCAATACTTTGCTTTATCTGATCCTCTCTCAATCGCATTGCTAAAGGATCCCTCTTGATGCGATTATCAGTCCCCATCATTATGCGATACTCTGCATCAGTTTGGTGGGAAAACATTTCAATCAGTTGAGCAGTTTCATCTTCACCGGTTTCTTCAAAATGCTTCTGAATAGCTTCACGGGATGTATCTCTCTTCCATGCCTTTACCCATTCTGAATAGTATGCAATTGGACCAATCCTTTCCAGTTTTTCTTGCTCAGCCTCAAGCCTGCAAAAATCGGATTTTTTTTTTTTTGCAGATTCTATTAGGTGAAGCAAATGCTAAAAGGGGGTTTTTACAATCAACATTTTCCAAGTGCATTTTTCAGGCAAATCCGCTTATAACAAGTTCCTATAGCATTTTGTGGTAAACTTTATCAGGTAACTCCCCTTAATTTATGATGTCAATCGCGTCAATTATCTTGAATGATGCATTCTATTTATCCTTTTAAGAACTTATTCATTCTTCAATCAACTATTGTTCAACCTTTCTATTGTGTTTCTTGTTTGTGGTGCTTCGTAATCAATCCCTATATGTTTTGCATTGGGATGCATTACAAAAGACACCACTTTCATTTCTATGGTTATCAGAACTATATTGTGAGCATAATAGTCAACAATACCTTTCTTCCTTATAAAGATGTCGTCTGGCTCGGTAAAGAGCAGTTTCTGTTATTGTTGGTTCTTCACCATAAAGCTTCACTTGTCCAATTTCTGCCATAGCTTTTAAGAAAACCTGAAAAAATTATAGTGAAAAGCCAATACAAGATATAAGGCTTCACTCTCAACACTAGGCTTTGTGACATTATGTCAATATGGGAAAAAGCTTTGACTGTTTATATTAATGCTCTTAAAACCTTTTTAGCATTAAACAAAATGCTATTGAAGAAAGGACTTATGAACTGACCACATGAACTTTTAACTAATGCTTAAATTTGTAAGCTTTAACTAACTCGTAGGTATAACGAACTACAATCCCTCATAAAGCACAAAATCGAAGGAAGCATACAGACAAAAACACACGCACATTGTAATTACAATATTAAGAAAAACTTTGACATGATAATTCAATGCACACTACTAACCGTTTCAGTGTCAGGTCTCCTCCTTTGCCATCTAGACCAATGTTCTTTCTCTGGCTTTCTCCAATTCCACCATAATTCGTCACTCGAAAGTGTTCCCTCTATCGGCTTTCTAACTGCCGGATCAATAAACGGATGAGGAGCTCCAATTTTCTTATCAAGTTTGTACCCGGTATCCTCTTCCGGCTCAGACTGATAAACAACATAATCTGACGAGAACTCGTCCGAATCTTCCAGAGGTTGTTCAAGCAGAACCTCAGGACCAGTGTCATTCCCCTCAACATTGGCCTCATCAGATGAACCAGAAACCGACTTTCTATTACTCTTCCTCCTACTACCAGGGTTACTCCCATATGACGGAGACCCTAATGATTCTCCCGTCGGAGCAGGCGCCCTAGCAGCCCTAACTTGCTCAACAGTCCCTTCAGGCCAATACTCAACTTCCGGAATACTTGCCCTAGCACCCGAGGCCGGCTCAAGCTGACCCGAAGTTGAATCCATGTAACTATAATAAGGCGGCCGTTCAACCGTCACATAATCAATAACTTTGTCTTTCTTTTCTTCATCTTTGTTAACTTCATCTTTGTTAACTTCATCTTTCTTTTCACACCTTATGCAACTATATGAAGGTATTTTCCTTCTTGATTTTCTCAAATCAACTCTACATTGTAAATTTCCAACACCTATCAAGTGCGTTGATGTCTATAGGGTTGCAAACATTTTACACAAAAAAAAAATCAGTTTAATATTGCATTACATACAATAAACATAATTAAGCAAAAAAATGCAATTTTTATTAATTTATATGCAAATTACGTAAATGTATGTAAAGAATTGAAGTTTGGAAGATGGGTAACCTGAAAGTGATTGAAGGACAAATTGGGGACAAGATTAGCTTGAAATGAAGACATAACGGTGTCGTTTTAAGAGAAAAGTGAAATATAGGTTTTGTAGAAGTGGTGGTGAGGAAGTTGAAACGTCGTCGTATTGATGATAACGGTGGAAAGAGGGGGAGAGAGAGTGGCGGAACGGAGAGTGAGAAGGTTTTTCAAGTCGTATGTGTTGGTGCTGCACTGTTGCTACCACCCTTATCATTTTCCATTGTTCTCGGTTTCTATTTTTTATTTTGTTTTCTAAAATGTTTTTTTTTTCTTTTTAAAATGATATATTTTTCAATTCCTCGACTACTAGTGAAGAAAATATAAACCACACGATATTTTTATTTTATTTTAAATTATTTATAAAATGGTTTAAAATAATGATATAAAAAATAATAAATTATCGTATAATTGTTATTATGGAAAAGAGAATGTAAAATCTATAATATAAGAAAAGTTGTTGTTCTGAAAAATCCTAGAATGTTCTACTCTTTTATTCTACAACCTCATCAATCTGAAGATATTTGTGTTCAAATATTACTTTTCTCAACCGATGATGTTATTTTGTTCAAATTTAACTACATGTTTATACAATTAAGTCATAGTTTAGTCATTTGATGATGTCACATGCTTCAATTTGGTTCCAAAGTAACTTGATCAATTTGGTTCCTCCAATGACAGATGTTTCACTTTTCATTTTTGACTTTCGTCTTTTCTCTCTTCGCTAATCCTCTTTTTGTTCCGTCTTCATCTTTCTCTCTCTTTTTCTTTTCGTTCAAAAGTTTGGGTTCCCAAATTCACAGGTTGTAATATTCTTCATTTTCTTCTTCGTCTTCTTTGATATCAAGGCAGTGATGATTTTTTAATAAATGATTCGAACATTGAGTGAAGAGTTGTTTCATGGCAAGGTGATTATGTTTTTGTGGAATAACATTTGTTGTACTTTGTGCAGATGTTAGACGCAACCTTTGGGAACCTCTTCTCTCGCATGTCCGAGAAAAAATGAATCTGAGCCTTCTTTTGTTCAATGATCTCTGAAATTGTGTTTGATTATTTGAATTTTTTGTTTGTAGATACTAAAAGCCTAAAAATGTTATATTTTTATACAATTGGGGTTATCGGGTACTGAAAATGTGTAGCATTTTATTTTTACACAAAATCTGGACCCCAAATCATATATCTGTAAGTATGTTATTTTTTATTCTATTTAGACACGATAGCAAAGCCTTTATGGTTGAGTATTTAAGCTTAGGGAACAAATCATTAAATGAAAAAATCATATAAAAAGGGTTGGTTGGGAGTTGCATTTAGATTTTGGCATCCATCTTCTCGTTCATGCGGCGGCGGAAGACCTCCTTTCTTCTTCTTCTTTGCATGCTCTCTTCTTGCTGCAAAAATAAAACATAAACATGAAATGTTAAGAACAACAATACTCACGGTTCTGTCTTCTTTGGTCGGCAACGGTTTGGTCGTGGATTGAGATTCGTTCGCGGAATGCCTTTCTTTTGAGATGATTTTTGTTCCCGGCCGTGATGGACGAACCTGAGGCTTGTTGGTTCGATGTGGTCCACCGATGGTGATGATTCCGCGATGATGTTTACATCCGCGGTTGAACGATGATGATGGTGTTGGACTCCTTTGGGTTTCGGTCGCCGTCTGTTGATTTGATGTCATTAGGGTTCTTGATACTTCTCCCTCTTCTGAACTTGCGGGTCCCCTTTCGCATGCGTTCATGTTGCTGCTTTTATTATGATTTGTTTCCTGAGCCTGGGCGCTTGCGATATTTGTGATGAACTTGTTGCGTTTTTATGCGTTTTTCCAAGAAAACTTGTTTTGGATGGTTGCGGATTTTGGCTTTGTGGTGGTATTTCCCCAGGATTTGCGGCTGTTTTTGATGTTGTGTTGGAATTTTGTTGCATTTTTGCTATTGTTGCTTGACAGGATCTTAGAATAGAGATTTGCGGATTATTTGTTTTGATCTTTTTTGTTGCAGGATTTTTGGGAAAGTTGTTGCTCACAATTGATCCAATTGTGGTTCAGAAATTTTGGGAAAGTTGTTAGTGATCTGTTTGGCAAAAATCATTTTTTCTGAAAAAATGCTTTTTCCAAAATCACTTTTCTCAAAATTACTTTTTTTTTAAAATCACTTTTCTCTCTCTTGGACCATAATGAACAGATGTTGCCAGATTTGTGCCGGGGTCGGAGATGGAGTCGGGAGCTGGCGGCAGAATATTTCGTTACCCTCCCGACGTACCCGATGATGATAATTAACTGAAGGTATCGGAATCGATCCAAAACCATTTTTATTGATTCTAACCATTAAAAATTATTTTCTCTGTTGTCGGTATTTTTGTAGGATCCAAAAAAAAAAGTCGAAGATTGGCGAATCGGACGCGGAGACAAACTTAGAAAAATTAGAACCTTTAGTACTTAGGAATGAATTGTGTAACTGTAATTATCCTTGTAATATTGTAATAAAAACATAGAATAAATAAATTATATTTTTCTTGAATTTACTTCTCTAATTAAATTTCTCCAAACAATTCATCTGATTAAACTTAAACGAACAAATTCATTTAATTAACTTTATCCAATAAAAATTATCTGATTAAGCTGTGACGTTCCAATTCCGAATTCGACAATTAATCATTTTGCAAGATTTAAATCCGACGTGTCTGCTGCGTTCGAACAAATCCCTTTTGCAAATTAATTCGTATCTGATAATAAAATCGTTGAATACGGCCTTGAACGGATAAGTAGAGAAATTCAATTAAACGGCGAACGAACTGTCTTCCGCATTGAAAATTCAAAATTGCATCTCGAATGATTTAACTCGGTAACCTGAACCAGCTCGACTAATAATCATGACCAAACCAAAAGATGTTCATTATAAATTCAACGCGAACCGAAATTCCACTGTTCCTTTAAAATGGACTCGTAACTAACAGAAAAACCGGGAAATTATGCTATGGCCAGAATAAATTCCTTGCAGCCGATTCTCGCACCGACTCAAACCCAAATTCAATTACATTTCAGCGCCCTCAAATCCATATGGTTTATGATAACGACCCTTCTGCCCTCCATAGATTAAAGCGCATCCAACGTTATTTTCCTGCAACAGCAACAGACTGAACAAACCGGTTAGCAGTTAGTTAAAACGCAATGTAGAATGAAATGAAATGCGAAATAACCCTAATAATCTAAGGGTAAAATTCGGGGTATAATAGTGTGGAATAACTCTGTTGTTAATTTCATGATGCAACTTTCATGTTAGTAGAAAAACAATCTAGAGTTGTAGGATGTTGATATGCAATTTTGTTGAAATGGAAGGGATTTATGCTAAAGTGTCAACCATATAATATAAACACACTTTTAGTATTTGAAATTGTAGGTGTAGAGCAGTTTGGTCTCAGATGTAAAGGAATTTCAAAATGATTAACGGAATTTTTTAAATCTTATATGGCATTAGTCCTTTTTGTCTAGAATCTGACCTATTTCTGAAATTTTTGTTGTGAATTGTAACAGGAGTGTAATCAGGTCCGTTGATTTAGCAGTTGTCTTCACTATTGCAGATAGAAGAAAATTTGACAAGATCATGATTTATTTGAAGCAGGTTCTTTTAGTATTGTTAAGGTAATATGCAAACAACTGCTGTGCATTATTATGCATAATGCTATGTAATTTATAGAAAAAATGTACATTTTCATTTTATCACTTAACAATTTTGTGTTTAATGTTGCAAGTTACCTTTAAAGAGGAATATATTCCATATATTCATTTCTTGACCAATGTGTGTGCAATTATCGGAGGTAAATAACTCAGTTGTAGTATTACATTTTCACTTATTATACCTATACGTTTCTTGAACAATGTTCTTACCATTTCTTATGTAAATACATTTTGGGCCCATTTTTACTTTATTTAATGTTTTGATTTCCAATGCCCTATCTTAAATAACAATGTATTCAAAAATGAATGATAAACTTGATTATCACTATTCAATAACCAGCAATGGTTTTTGAATTACCCAAGCAATAATGACAGTCCAACAAAAACTTTTAGATTTTCAATATAAAGAGAAGACGAAGAATCAGAGAAACCATTATAAAAATGGTATTCCTCTTTTTACCATCACACAAGTAGCATCATTGAAGATGAATAATCCAAATGAGTTCCAACAATGTTGTCCAGGTCCAACAAACTTTAGATGTTCAACAACCTGTAGAGGTCCAATAAGTTCATGAGGTCCAAGAGGTTGTAGAGGTACAACAAGTTCACTAGGTCTAAGAGACTGTAGAGGTCCAACAAGTTCACCAGGTCCAAGAGGCTGTAGAGGTCCAACAAGTTGTCCAGGCCAAAGAAGCTGTCCAGACCCAACAGGCGATCGCCTTGCAAAGAAGACGAACCAGGAAAAGAATAAGAAGATCAAGAAGAATGATAAGGAGGACAACTACGTTTAATTCAGATGATGATGATGAACCGTATGGTTGGAGTAACTTTATGTCATCTAGGGCATTTAGATTTGATAATTAAAACTTAAAAGTGTCTTTGTTGTCTTTAGTATTCAAGAGTTTTAGTTGTATTAAATATGAAACATGCACTTGTGAAACATTTTGTTGTCTTCAATGTGGCTCACACTTCTTATTAAAAGTACTTGAATGAAAATTTTGTTGATCTAATGTTTTTCATTTCTGCGTTAGATATAATGGTTGTTCATAGTTTTTTAGTTCTACTGAATTGACTAGATTGTGATGATTATTATCTGATTACCAAAGAACCAATAAAACGATTGGAAAGAACCAAGTCTGTAGTGGCTCATGCTCTCACTGGACTCAAGTTTATCAGCACAACTGATGTAAGTGCAGGATGGTCTAAAGTTGAGAAAGAGTTTGAGAAGCTTACTGCTACCACCAATGGATATCTTCCACATGCCCTCTTCGCTAAATGCATAGGTAAGCCAATTCTATAATATTGATTCAAATGATATGATGAAAGTTGTTACTCAGATGCCACAACTAACGAAAATGCCATAA